CACTGTTTATTGTCAAACAATTACTACAATAGTAAAAACTGAAGTTCTCCATTCAACAATACAGGATAGTTTGAACCATGTTCTTCCAACCATTAATTAATAGAGTGAATAGAGTATTTATTTATCAATTTATTCCAACTCAATAGACTACTTTATACCAATTTTTGGGTCTTACCTTGTCTGCTTAAACAGTTTATTCATTTTGAAAAACCACAGACATGTAATATTGCCATAATTACTGTAATTTATATCATTTATCTTAGTTTATCTTTATAAGACAACACCCTAAGATGGGTTTTAATATTTCAGCATTTAATTAACTTTGTATCGAGACCTGAAGATGCTTTGCATATTGTAGAAAGCGAAACCGGTCGTCTAGATAGATAAATTAACCTGATTGTGAGTAAATCTTATTTATTATTTTTTTTACCTATTTGAAATGGACTCACACAAGCAACACATTGCGAATTTTCATTATTTAATTTCATTATTTAATCAAATATATTGTTAAATAAACTATGTAATTTGTTTATAACAATTTGTTTTTAAAGAGGATACTTTTGGCCTATTATTATTTCTAGATTGTCTCTGTAGATCTCTCATGAGCTTGTTTGTAATATTGCTTTTTATCAAATGGTTTTACTTTAAATATACTTGGTAAAATTTATGAAAAGCAAGAAGTCGAATATGATAATTTATCACACAATATGGCTGTATTTTTAATTAACTTTAATAAGTCAATGTTAATTATAGTTCAATGAACTTACCTTGCACAAATCATCCATATTAAAAGTACGATAAAGATAATAAGGATAACGGAAGCAGCAATACCACCGACAATATAAGCAAATTCAGATTTCTCTGCACAGTGCTTTCCGGTGAAGCTTCCAATACATCTACACGATGGCTGCCCTCTAACATCTTTGACGCAAGTGCCTTCATTTTCACAATATCCTTCACATACATCAAAGCAGTCACCGACTTTGCCGGTACCGTTAAAACCAGGTTTACAATCGCAATCGAAATTGCCAGTCTCGGGGATGAGGAGGCAGTAGGCGTTGACATCACACTGCATTTCAGGTCCATTGGTCTCGCAGGGATTTGTGCACTCAGATTTGCTGGTCTATAAGCATAAATATAGAATATTTATTAGAATATAGAATAAAAATATACAATAAAATATAAGTAATATAAAAAACTTAAAATATAGAATAAAAATTCAAGCACGGAACTGTAATATTAATATGATCCAAGTCTATGCTCCCAGAGCTGATAAGACCAAAGATGAAATCGAAAAGTTTTATTCAGAATTGCATAATAGAATCAAGTTAACAAAATCTACAGATATTACTTACATTTTAGGAGACTTTATTGCAAAAATTGGAGTAGGTACAGTTGAAAATATAGTTGGACAGTTCGGATTAGGAACTAGAAACGAGAGAGGAGAAAGGCTGATAGAATTCTGCCAAGAAAAGAATATGGTAATTGCCAATACTTGGTTTCAGCTTCCTAAAAGAAGACTATATACATGGGCGTGTCCTTCACATACAGAAAACCACATTGTCAGAAACCAGATAGACTTTATACTGGTAAATAGCAGATATAAAAACTCTATACTCTCAGTTAAAACTTATCCTGGAGCAGATGTTAACTCAGAAAACAATCCGTTAGTGGCTGACGTGAAAATAAAATTAAAAAGAATTGAACTCAGAAAACAACAACCAAAAATTAACGTAAGAATGCTACAAAACGAAGAAATAAAAAAGGAATTAAAAAATAATGTGAATATTAATATGCAAAAAACACTAACTGACAACAAACAAATTATGGATGTAAATAAAAAGTGGTATAATATAAAAAAACACATTACTGAAACCAGCTCAAGAAAGTTTGATACAACATAGGTCAGAGGCTAAAAGGAACTGGATGACAGAAGAAATACTATTACAGATGGAAGAAAGAAGGAAATATAAAGGAAAAGATCCACAGAAATATAAAGAAATATAACGAATAATTAAGAAAAAAATCCAAACAGCTAAGTAAATCTATTTGATGAAACAATGTAAAGAGAATTATGAGTTAATTTTTCCTTTTTTTACGTATTAAGCAAGTGGACCCACATGTGCAAACACTATTAAAATATTTAAGTACTTTTACTGTAAATGCTACTTACTCCTCCAGGTCCTTTAGTACTCGTATTTGGCGGGCACGGAATGCAGGTAGTCTGCTGATATTCTGACTGATAAAATCCTTTGTTACAATCAACGCATCTGTTCTGAGTACCATTCAAGTATGTTCCCGGCTTGCACACAGGCAAAGAACATTCCTCTCTTGTGACAGCTCCAGTCTTCTGCGTTGTGTAGTCCAAAGGACACATCTGACAAGCAGATTCGATACCTTGAGTTCTATAGGTTCCTCTTGGACATGGCTCACATTTACCATCGATTCCTAGCTGTAGACCATTGCCGCATTCATCTCTACATTCCTTAATCGAAACTGCTTCGTTAGTGCGTGTAGTTTTACCAAGGCCGCAGATTTCGCAAGAGAAAGATCCTTCATTGGGTTGGTAAAAACCGTAACCACAGCTCCTACAAAGGCCTGCTTCATGGTCGTAGAATTTACCGGCGGGACAGCGTTCTACAAAGCACTTATTAGTGTTTTCAAATCAATTAGAATATTAAAAGTATATTACCTTTACAATCTGCTGCACTTCGAGCGCCAACGGTTACAGTGACGCCTGAGCGGCCTGCTATAGCTGGACACTGTATACATTGAGTCTGGCCAGTTTCACTTTGGTAGTAGCCTTTGGCACATGATACACACGTTTTGGTGTCTTTGTCGTAGTAGGTACCGATGGCACAAGGAACTGAAATAAAGATATTTCATTTTAACAATAAAGATAAAGTTAACAATATAATAAATTGTTAAATCAAACTTTAAACTGATTATAATGATCTTTTTAAACACATATTCATTTGCACAAAAAACTAAGAAAAATACTTACCACAATCTGGCGCCATAACAACCTGTCCAACAGGACAAGCGTAGTCGGACTGAAGAAGAAGGGAAGATGGATCAGGCACTGTATTGGGTAGAATATCTCCAACGTCGAACTGATCTTCTTCCAGAATGAGTTTCTCCAAGAGAGCCTTGACTGTAGTCCTTTCATTCGTGTTTATATTGACCACAGGATCACTAAGAAAAGGAAACCGTGAATGTGTATAATTTATAAAGTATTTAATTTTTCACATGCACTCAATATCGTTCTACAAAAACTGAACTACTTAAAAATTAGTCTCAACTATTGTAATGCAACACATGTGAAATTGTGCTCAAAACAATGATATGCGGTGAATGCCTGATGTTAAATTTGTGTTGCATACAATATTTGTTCTACGGTCAATATAATCGCAAAATAAATCATAAAACAAAAATACGACATGCTTACTTGATAGCTGGGAAGGTGATTTCAATGTCGTAGGTATCGCTGGACGACTGTCTGCCTTGTCGGGAACTTCTATAATAAGATGAGATGCTACTTCTACACATTCAACTAATCTAATAACTATATTCTCAAGCCATGCAACTATCAACAACAACAACAAAACACAACACGTACTATGAAGAAGTGAGTATGTGTGTTTGAGCTATGACATGCAAAAAATCATGATAAACATTAACTTTTTTTTTATTTTACGTTTTAATAACTGGAATTAACTACTAATCAACAATTTTCAGATTTTTACTTTTGAATTTCTTAAAATAAATCAGATTTGTTTAAAAAAAAGCACTATGAAAAGCATTGCGAAGATCGTCGAGTAACCAGTTTTATCAGTCATGTATTCAAACGTTTCTAAAGGTAACTCACATATGCGGATTTATATACATGAGAAGGAAGAACAAGGAACACTCACCTTGGCTGGAGAATACGCAAGCTATAACAGTGAAATGCTATGAACACAGAAATAATGTCTTTATTTGCTTTATCAATCACCAAAAGGCCGTGGACAAAAGCAGTACCAAAATAAATGGAATCTTTACAAATAAATAATCTGTGATATTCTGACTAAAGGATAATCATAGCTGACAACATAGACGAGTTACAAGACATAGTGTACATTGATGATACTCATATATTGATTGATACAGTAGAAAATCCCATATTTACTAGTAGTTGCTTATAAATAAACTCGTGAACAGAGTTAAAAACTTTTACTGGTAGCCAAATATAATATCTTCAGTGTTATCTTAATGGGCAAAATTAAAAGTCAAAGAGGACCCGCTCGTCAATAACACTGATGGTGCAGAGATGCCGCAAAAGAAACTTCTACGGCATGTCTGATTATAAGTATAGCATAACAAGGCGCACTCTTTGACCAGTATGAAAGCTCAGGCGTAAAAATATACTGCTATATTGATAACTGAAATTTTTTCATTTCAAATATTATTATAAATTCGTAATTTTCTGCAAATTGTTGAAGAAGTTTAAGACGATTACCGGCTTGGAATAAAAAAGCTAATGCTTAGATTGAAGCAGTAACGAAAAATGCTAATGTTTCAAGCATACAAGATCTAAACTTACTTTTCAACTGGCACATCGGTCTTAATAACATAGGTTCCACCATCTTCATCTTCGCTAGTTTGTCTGGTCTGTCTTCCAGCTCTGTGGTCACATTTAACATCAATGTTCAACTCTTTGCATTCTCTTGTACCATCGACAGAAAACGAACAGAAGTTCCAGTCTCTATTCAAGGCGTTTACCGCATGTCTCACCTTTTGCTTAAGCACTCCTTGTCCAGCTTCGTTACATAGTACTGAACTGGGGAACAACATTTCGATTCTGAAGACTCTTTGAGCTGGTTTAGCCGAAGAACAAGCTGGATAGACTAGTGGGAGGTTGGGATTTTTGGTCGGTCTCCAGAAACCTTCGGCGCCACAGGTGTAGAATAGTGGAATCTCTTGTGAGAAACGTAAGCCGGGGTTACAGCCGATTTCGCAGACCTTGAATTGGCCACCAGCGCCCCAATCTTTGCATGACTGCATACCGCCAATTGGGTCCGGAAGTTCAGGACAGAATTCAGCTGAAATATAAGAAGCATAATTTGTTTTGTGGCGTTGTTTTCATATTTGGTTTTTGTTTCGCAATTTCATCTGCTCTGAAGTATGTTTTATGAAGTAAACAAAGCTATTTAAATGACCTTTTTGAAAAATTTGAAATAAAAATTACATGAGAAAGATTACAGAACGACTTTTTCATGAATTCAAACGGGAGATTGTTAACATTTTATTGAGCAACATAGTTAATGGGTAATTCTTGATTTTTCTATATTTATGATAAAACTACTCTTAATATATAAATATATATATATATATATATATATATATATATATATATATATATATACGTTTTTACAACAGATTATTTTAAAAATTCTGGAAAATGTATAACCAACAAATTGTATGTTGTTTTTTCAAATTAATAGTTGACTTTTTGGCCTCGCTATTGTAGACAACAGCATGTTTATTGTTCTATTTTTTTGCCCACGGAATATCAAATTCTGAATATTATGTGTATTTTTGTTTTGTTACATGCTTGTGTAACATATATATGTTAGTGTATTGTGTGTTGCATATGTATGTTCTTGTTGACTTCTTCTTTAGGTATTGGCAATCAAAGCCTCCTTTGATTGTGTGAAGATACACACAAGTTCAACATTCATCGTGGAGTTCGCCAGGGCGACACCATTTCACCAAAACTGTTTACAACATTACTGGAATACATGTGTAAGCGTGCAAACCTAGACGAAAAGGGCATAAACATAAATGGAGAGCAGCTTAGTCACCTCAGGTTCGCGGACGATATAGTCCTGATAACAGACCGCATAGATCATGCCATCGAAATGTGCGAAAGACTCTACCATGCCTCTACACAAGTGGGTTTAAAGATCAATAACTCAAAAACACAAGTGATGACAAACCTTGTTCTGAGTGAGAACATCAACATAGCTGGAACAAGTATAGAACAAACATCAGCATACAAATATCTGGGACACGAAATTCGCTTAAGTAGAGATAACCAGACCAATGAACTAATACGTAGAATAGGGTTGACATGGGCAGCTTATGGAAAGCTAAGAGATGTTTTCCAATCAGCTCTTCCCATCTGCTTGAAGAGAAAAGTCTTCGATCAATGTGTGCTGCCGGTTCTAACCTATGGTGCGGAGACGCTAACACTTACTAAGACGTCCGCAAACAAAATTCGAACAACACAGAGGGCAATGGAACGATCCATGTTGGGATTAACCCTGAGAGACCGAATACCCAACACAGAATTGCGCCGTAGATCGGGAGTAACCGACGCAATCAAAAGAATATCAACCTTAAAATGGAACTGGGCAGGGCACGTCGCGAGAACGAAGGACGGCAGATGGACAAAACGCATTCTTGAGTGGAGACCCAGACAAGATGCCTTTAGGAATAGAGGACGACCACCAACAAGATGGACGGATGACCTGAAACGGACACATCAAAATTGGATGCAGGCGGCTCAGGACAGAAATTTGTGGGGTGAACTACGGGAGGCCTATGTTCAGCAGTGCACGAGTATGGGCTGAATGATGATGAATCAAAGCCTCCTACATTCTGCTGATGGTTTTGCTACACATTTTTGTTCATTTATTGGGTTGAGGGTTGCTTCTTTGACTTTTTTATGTCTGTTTCTTTCTTGATTATTGATGAATCTTTCCATTGTGGTCTTTAATCGTTGTCCCAGGTATGCTTGCATATCTGGGATTTGTCAAAGTCTCTATTCTTTCTTGCTTACCCTGATACATACATTCACTAGGTAGTTTGTAGATGCAGATTTTAACAAAAAAAGATATTTTTTATTTTACAATATACTTACATAACACTGATACTTTGAAGGTACAGGTGGCAGTATTTCCTGCAGCATCAGATGCTACATAAGCTATTTGATATATTCCCCACAAAAGTGTTTGTCCAGGTCTATGTCCACTCTTTTCTTGAACTTGCGCCACACCTACGTTGTCGCTGAAACTTGGTTCATCCCACACTACAAGCGCAGAGCCGTTTTTGGTTATTATCCATAGATCTCCAGGACAGTACTCAATCTGAAATCAAATTTAGTTAGAATATATTTCAATCAGTTTATATTTGCCAAATTTAAAATAAATAAATATTTCAAACACCTTCTAACGTAATTGTTTAACCAGATAATTATAATGGAATGCATTGCTCATAAAATTAACAACCTTTGAAAAATACAAAAAATAAAAACAACATTTTAAAATACACAAAATTCAATGGGATAAAAAGTAAGTCCTGCTGCTATACTTTTATCGAATATGACAGCTATTGAAGCCAATATGAACAAACAATGATGCCCAAAAAAAATGGATCTCAAACATTCACATGAAAATGAAAAGTAGATGACCCTACGAAGGAGAGTGTACCAACAAGATATGATGGCGCATGGAATGCGAAAAGTATTCACTATGCATGTACATACTTACGGAAACAGGTTAGTTGATAACGATATTTTTGCAAAAAGAAATAAGCCAGAATAATGAGTTAATATTTTGCCATGGTATTTTAGGAAAATTAAATTTTGTAACAACTAAATTCTTCATATATTTAGCACTGATACCTTAAAATGGAGGTTCCTATTTGACGTCAGGTGGTAGAGGCTATAACCGAATATATTACAAACTAGACATAAATGTTAATGATACAGTGAGTTGTGGGTATATAGAAGAATTCTGAAAATATTGTGGACAGAACACGTCACAAACAAAGAGGTTCTGAGATGGATGAATAAAGAAGTAGAAATTTTAATTTAAGAAAACTGGAATATCTCTCACATATTACACATGGAGAGAAATACACCTTGCTCCAACTGATTAACCAGGGAAAGATTTAAGGAAAGAGAAACATAGGGAGGCGTAGAATGTCATGGCTGCGCAACCTGAGAAAGTGGTACAAATGTACATCAAACGAACTTTTCAGAGAAGCCGTCTCAAAAGTCCGAATAGCTATGATGATGGTCGACCTCCACCGCGGAGATGGCACTTGTAGAAGAAGAAGATAGAAGCTGCATGCACAAGAGTGTATCGTTAGTTCTGTATATCGTGGTTTAAACATAACTGCTTCTCAATTTGGATGTTCAGTTAAAACATTTTCGAATGCAGATGCTATTCCGAGACACATAGAACTAGTACAATTGAAGAATGATTCTTTTATTTAGTACTCTAACGGGTAGGTAAGAGAAGGTTGAGTCTTATGTATACTTAGGACAGAATATTCAATTCTCCAAACAGAACCTAAAGACTGGTTTAAATAGAAGATTTTCCTTTTCCTGGGTAGCAGTTTGATGACTACAAATAGTCTTTAAATATAACTTTACAAACACTGCAAAACTTTTCACCAGTATGTAGTGCCAGTCCTAGCGAAAGATACCAAGATATGGGTTTTTAACAGCAACATGTTTCATAAACTGCAATTAACTCAAAAAGCTATAGAAGAATGCTTAATATTGAATTCAATGATCATATATATAAGGAAATAAGAAGATCAAAGTTACTAGATGTAAACCAAAAAATTGCTACGTTAAATGTGATCCAAGAGCAGTCAAGTGACTGCTCTTGGATCAGTCAAGAGAACACAAGAGAGCCAAAGGCAGAATTCAAACTTGATGACAGATGAAGACCCATTGATGACATCAAAAGATTAGCTGGTCACGAATGAACATAAAAATCAGAGAACAGAAACTAATGTACACATTTAAGGCAAAATTACATCCGACGATGAATGTAATAGCTAATGGTGATGATCATGATAAAAAATACATGTAGCTTACTAAAGCAATTACAACTAAACTGGCTAAATATCATTTCAGTGACCTTGCCGAAGCAATAAGAATGAATGGTCCAAATTTGTAAGATATGTCTGTTGTATATGCAATTGCTTGTTCAGTTTCTCCCTATACATTAATCTAAAAAATAAAAATATCAAAGTTAAGAGAAGAAGTAATAAATGAAATGTTTTGTATAGAAGATCTTATCAAATCTTATACCAAAAAAAATGAAATTATTGTGAAGTCCCTAAATTATGCCATTAATTCATTGATGAGTAAACGTCACGAGCATCAAGAGCTTAAAAATGTGTGAGTCTACAATAATAGAAACAATGGCATCCAGAGAGTAATCCAACATAATGTAAAACTTCAGATTCGATTGTACACTCAACACTTCTAAATCATACGGAAAACTATTTTAATTGCAACGGAACTGTAGTTCAAATAAATTTCTACCAAGCAATAAATAATATGGTTAAAGAGGATTTATATACCTTTGGAGGTATCTTGTCAACTTCTAGCTCTTGACACTTCGATCCCTTGTATCCTGGTGGACAATTGCGTTGTCCGCAGTGAGACGGCACTATTCTTTCCACGCCACCAATGGTATCTTCGTATCCAGCCCATGTTAAGATTAAACCTCTGTATAATACTGGTTCCGTTCTGCAGTCCCTGACCTGCTTTTGTACCTCATTTGTGACGTCTAAAGCTCGTCCCCAAATTTGCACCTTTGTCAGGTGTCCTTGGAAGCCGGATTCGGTGTAGGCTTTGGGATTTCCTGTTTGTGGTTTACCCAAAGTAACCCAAGCACTAAAAAATGATAGAACGAGTTTAAAATTTTATTTTTTAATTTTATATTATTATTTTTTTAATATTACTAATGGAAACTTACTACTGTGGCAGTTTTCTTCCACTTCCGTATCCCTTAACTTTGCTAGCGATGAGACCTTCAGTGATTAATTTAAGTTCTCCACCATTTTCTCCATCCCAAACGATAGCAAGATGGTGCCATTGAGCATCGTTTATTGTTGTATAGTCTCGATAACTTAGGTAAACATCTTGTATATCAGGGAAGATAGAGATCTGAACTCCGTTAGAATGTGCCTGTACTATAGGTCGCCTATTGTTTGGAACATGTTTGTCACTAAAATAAACAAAATGTTACTTATATAATCGTTTTTAATGTAGTGGGTACTTACGACACACTATACAAGGTAAAGAATATTCCGTTTTCATCTTTTTGGGTAAACTGTACCCACAATGCAATTGTAAGACTAGATTTGGATCCCGTATAGAAGGGGATAACTTGTGATGCAGAGCTACGAGTAGCATCACTAAAGTAGAGGTCATAGTCAACAGAAATTGCTGTAAATAAACAAAATTTTAGTACCAATTGAAACAACATATTAATATCTTACTTTTTCTACAGTCTTCTCCTGTAAGGTTAAAAGGACATTGACAGTAGAATTTTCCAGTTAGATCAATGCAGGTGGCGCTGGGTGGGCAAGAATTCTCCTTGCAATCGACAATGTCTTCCTCGCAGAACTTGCCAGTATACCCAGGTGGACAAACACATTTGAATCCAGGGAAGTCGTTTGTACAAGTAGCCCCATTCTTACAGGCTTTCACTTGACAGGCATCATATTCGTATTGACAACCAATACCACTGAATCCATCACTGCAAGAACAGTTTAGACCTGATCCAAAGTCTTGGCATTTTCCTCCATGCATGCAGGGGTTGCCGATGCATCTCTCTGGTGCCGTCTCACATTGTTTTCCGTCGGTTCCCGAGGGACATCTAGAAAATAAACGATTAAACTTGATCTCTATCGACAACTCTGCGACAAACAGTTATGTATGTTTCTTTAACTATAAAATCGTAAAAATTCCCACTATTAAACTGTTTAATCATATACTTACACACAGAAATAATCCTGGAACAAATCTATACATCTGGCATCATTTTGACAAGGTCTAGTTTGACAGCTTCCGATATCAACTTCGCAGTTACCACCAGTCCATCCAGGTTTGCAGACACAACGGTAAGAACCAACTTCATCTCTGCAAGATCCTCCATTCAGGCAAGGTTGGGACTGACAATCGTCGATATTAATCTCACAAGCATTTCCTAAAAGAAAATAAACACAATAATATGATTGTTACTGTGTAAAATAGAGACAAAAAAGTGGTTTAAACGGTACTTATAGAGTCACCAAGTTATACTATGATGAGCGAACCCGCAAAGGATAGGAAAAGAATTATTTTTTCATATTTACTTTTACATACATATTTGTATTCTTACCTGTGTACCCTTCTCTGCACATGCATACGTATTTATTGTCCAAATCTACGCATCTTTCAGTTCCTACTGAATTACAAGGATCGCTTAGACACTCGTCAATTTCAGCTTCGCATTGAAGTCCTACAAAACCTGGTCTGCATTTGCAAGAGAAGCTATCGACTAAATCAGTGCAAGTAGCACCATTTTGGCATGGTTTTGACGAACAGAAGTCTACAAAAATAGTCAATATTAGAGATAAAATTAATATTTAAACAGGTATGTTATATACCTAAAGTGTGCTGACATTTCTTTCCAGTAAATCCTGGTTCACAAGTACATTTAAAATCGTCTATTCCATCAACACAATGACCCCCATTTTGACAAGGATTAGGTTGGCAATCGTTGATGTTCGTTTCACATATGTCACCTGTCCAACCTGGGTCGCAGATGCACTCGTAGTCGAACAGTTTATCGATACACACTCCATTTTTACAGGGATTACTACTACACATATTTATTTTCTCTTGGCATCTCTTTCCAGTAAAACCAGCCGGACAAGTACAGCTAAAATCGTTGACCAAGTCTGTACAATTGGATCCCAATAAGCAAGGTTTCTCAGCGCAATCGTCGATGTTAGTTTCGCACAATTGACCTTCCCAGCCTGGTAAGCATTCGCACATGAATCTGCCCTGTTGGAGAGCAATACAACTAGCTCCATTATTGCACGGATTTCCATTTGCTGTGCATGGATCAATCTAAAAATAACGCAATGTCAGTATATTAAAATATTATGGAATATAACGTAACAAAAAATAGGATTAAATGACAAGTAATATATCATTTGAAATATCTGGTAATTCAGTACATTCGTAAATTTTTTTGTGACTCATTTCAAAATGACGAGTTCAATAGTCAATGGCCACTAAATAAAAAAAGATATGTGACTTCCCCTAATACTATGGAAGTTTTTAACTTTTATAGGAAACGCCCGAATAGGTAAATTTATGCCATAATTTTATCTAATTTCCCACATTATGGCATTTGTGCATTTATTGACATTTGTCACAAATAAATTATTCATATTATTCTAAAATGATTATATATGACATATGGTACACCATTTGAAAGCTCTTCCATCGGCCCCTCTCTTTTCTTGTCTAGGGATAGAACTAGGAATTGCAATCCAGCAGCATTTTTAGTCCAGCTGGATTTTTGCAAGATTGGCTTGAATCCAGCGCGGATCCAGCAAAATGTGGAATTAAAAAAGAATTGTCACGAATGAAATTTTATTCAAATGAACTTATCTGTTGTAAGAGTAGTTCACTTGAGCAAATTTCATTGATGGCAATTTTAAGCTGACACAGGTTAAGTAATATGTTTTTCTTCCATGGCTTATTAAGGACGAGTTTTTTTTTTTGATATCATGATAAAAATCAGTCTGTATTATAAATTTCTAAATAACAGAAACATGAATTATTTAGTTATTTGAAAGTGAAACCTTAAAAAACATATTTTATCTATCGTGTTATCGCCTAACCTACTTCGCACAGATCTGCACATAAAGCCGGTTGCGGAGAAAGCCCTTTCGGCCTCTACGTTGGTCGGTTTTAAGGTCATCAAATAGTCATAAACCATGGACAAATGATCGCCTTTCACTCTTTCGCTCTCACAAACGGTCATTTCCTTTTTCAAAATCTTTTCGTAATCTTTTTGAGAACCAGTTTTTTTGTTATAAAAGTTTTTTCTCTCTTGTTTCAGTTCAATCTCAAGTTCTTTTTTTAAAGTAAAATTCACGGGCTCCGGATTAGCTGGTATATCTTCTACTTCCATTATGTCCTCTAGCACTGTTTCCACAATGACTTATTTATTTATACGACTTAACAAATTTTTCATCTCTTGTCGCATTGCATTCTTTTTTGGCATGAGGAAATAACCAGGATTGTTTAGTCCTTTGTCATACTTTTTTGGATTTTGTAAGTACACTAATGTACCTGTAATTTCAGAGAGGTGCCGTTCCGCGATTCTGTTGCGTAGTGCTTCCGATAGCTCGGCACTAAGGCTAGAGTCCTGGCTATTTAGTTTGTGTAAGACAAATTTCAAGGCTGTGTCGGCCGTTATCAAAGTGGACTCTCTTCTGCAAAGAGCTTCTACAGCCAGTTTCACCGGTTGAAGAGTGGCGATCAACTCATTAATTATTGACCACTCGCCAGCAGAGAATTTTATTAAAGAATCAACGTCTATTAACGCTTTATCGACGCAAACTTTTAGGCTGTAGAAACGTTCCAGCATACTGAGCAAACTGCCACCTAGTGCGGCAGTCAAGAATCAAACTTAATTCCTTGTACAGTACATCAGATTAAGAGAGGCACTTATTAAGCGTAAAAACACTTTTACTGGAGAGAGAAGAAAGTCAACTAAAAATTAGACAAATAGAAGAGGTCTAAGAGGTATCTAAGAGGTGCAGTCGAGAGAGAGGGCGACGCGATGTTGCAGTTCAATCGCACTTGTGGCACGTCACATGAAGATATGAAGTAATTTATTTCGAATTTGACCATGGACGTATAAATAAAGATATACGTCCATGAATTTGACACATTTGCGGATCCGCGCTACTGGATCCAGCATATAAAAAACGCTGAATTGCTGGATGCTGGATCCAACAATTGCAATCTCTAGAAAGAACCCATTTGTGTTTCGATATACATCTGTCAATCATATGACGTCATTAACACTTTTCTTAAGTAACGCGATTATGTCGGGTTATTTTGAAAATGGCGACCTTTAAATCAATAAAATTATCTTAAACTCACTTCTACTAAAGGAATAACTCTTTCTTGTTTGTGATAATAGACTGAGTGATATATGAGCTTAAAAATAATTTATCAAATCCTATATACTGCCTTTTAAGAAACAAAAAAAAATCGATGGCGACATATTTTTAACGGATCTAAATACAAATAAATTCTATCAATATCTGCAGAATTGACCTGTTCAAAGGTTTTCCATTAAAGCTGTAGAGTAAGAAATTGTTATGGGTAGCTCAGACATTTTTAAACACTTTTGCTATTTAACATTGAAAGGTCACCATTTCAAAAAGATGCGTCAGAATCGCACTAAAATCTAGAAACATCGTGAGTGTCCCAGCAGTTTTCAAATAACATATTATTTGCCATATGATCCCGGTTAAAATTTTATTTTTCTGTCATTTAAATATTTACAGGTGCTTTAGGCCAGTAAAATAAGTTGAAATACTATTTTTGACTCAAATAAAATAGTTTCTTTCCTCAGTAAATTTCGACTTACCGTAACATCACAATCAATTCCTGTGTATCCAGACCGACATAGACATGTATAGTTATTATATCCAGGTTCATCTTTACACATAGCCCTTGCAGGACAGGTATCATTCGAGCAGTCTGATCGCTCTTCTTGACAGTTGATACCAGAATATCCAGGAGGACATTGGCATTTATAACCTTGTGGCAAATCAATACAAGATCCTCCATTGTAACATGGTTGCGAGGTACATTCGTCAATGTCGACTTCACATCTTCTGCCCGTAAATCCTGCAGGACAGAAGCAGTGAACATTATGACCCATAGGGATACATAGTCCGCCATGTTGGCAAGCATTTTCTTTGCACTGGACAGGGCGACATTCGTCTCTTCCCGTGGCTCCAGGTCCTTCTGTCTTCATGTTACTTGGACATTCGTTGCAAGCGGTTTGTCCTGTAACTAATTAAAAAGAACGTAGTAATATAGTTCTTATAGATTTGCAATTAAAACAGATTATTGAACAATACTTACCAGATTGATAGAAGTTCTTGGGACACATAGAGCAAGGCGCTAAACCTGTAGGTGAGTAATAACCAGGACTACACTTAGGTCTACATTTATCCTTTCCTGCAGCAGCTGGTTGATATGTAAAAGTGTTCGCAGGGCAAGCCTGGCAATCTTTGAATCCTCCCGTTGGTGGTTCACTTGTAAAACTATTTCTTGGACATTCGAGGCAAGGTACTAATCCTGTAGGGGAGTAGGTTCCATATCCACAAACAGGGATACAGTCGTGAACGCTCTTCGAACCTTCCTCGCGGGTGTACGTACCTTGAGGACATCTGTTGCAGGAACCTTGCCTGTCTCTATTTTGATAGAAACCTTTTGGACAATACGTACATTCTTTTTGTTTCTCACCAGCAAAGGTTCCGGCGGGACAATGTACTGAAAAACATTAAATGTTTATTTGTTAATAACAACAAAAAATAAAAAGTATGTACTTACAGCATCTTGGTACATCGTTCGTGTCCATATTAAGTACCTCGCCAACGTTACAAGTAAAGCCTCTTTCATTTATAGATTTTAGAGCTTTAAGAGGTGGACACTGATTGCCGATGGCAGCAACATTTAATAAAGGTTCAACAACGGCATTCGCATAAGGAACTGATAAATCAAACATTAGGTTAAGAGTACTACCACATAAATCGTAGATTTGTGGTTGTCTGTATAAAGGAACTATTTCCAGAATGTAATCAATTTTTACTACATTTTCTTCAACTAAGTTAGCTAGAGCTTTGATAAACGTAACATTCATCTTTACGTTCACTGCTGAACATCTTTCTGATAATACGGTATTGAGATTATTGTAGTATTGAGCCAAAAGTTCAATATACTGATTCAAACAGGAGTTAGCGACTGCTCCGTTTGCTCTGTAGTTAATTGAGGCGGTAAAATGGTAGTCAGCTTGTTGTGTATCTAAAAAATAAAATAAAGAATAAACAACAGTCTTATTATTTTTTTTCTAAACTTACTTTCTGATACACAATCTGGAATAACAGAACTAGGCTTCCAAGGACCATTGGTTTCGCAAGAGAAAGTCTTTACTGGATCTCCATCAGTAAATCTAAATCCTGGATTACAAGTTCCAATACATTGTAATCCTTTATCTCCTGGTAAACAGTTAAGAGCCCCATTAACTGGAGGTTTAAGCTCCCAATCTACACAAGGTGTTGCTTGTACTGATACTTGGAAGTGACACGATGCTTTGTTTCCATATTTGTCAGCAGCGATAACGGTCACATTTTCAAAGGCTCCAATCGAAATGGTCGCTTTGTCTGGGATGAAAGTGATATGTACTTCACCAGAAGCATCACTGGTATTCAATCTTCTCCTTGTTTCGTTGAAGTTAATAGCATAACTGTCTTGCCTATCAACCAACTCGATTACGTAACTTTGAGGACAGCTGAGTTGAGGCGGAGTATTATCTGAAATAGCAAAAAATGTGTTATTAAATAATGTTAAATTGATCGTACAAAGCTCTAGTGTTTTTACCAGTCTAAACAGTACGAACCTGGAACAGTAATGTTGATTTCGCAAATGGCTACGTTTCCATCATAGTCATAAGCTACATATTTAACAACCATATCATCAAACACGTACATGGGAGTTTTAAAACTTGCTGGTTTAACTTCCAATCTAGCTATACTGCCTGAATTATCGACAGCAGTTGGTTCAGTAAAGTTTACAGGAAGCAGTCCACCATTTACGTCTTTTTGGACCATAATCGGTTGTTGTGGGCAATTTTGGAATACTGGAGTTTCATTATCTAAAAATAATATTTAATGATTAGTTATGTCAAGAAATCTTTGTTAATGATTGCTAAAATATAGAAATTAAAAATGCGAATGGGGAAAAAACAGTTTAGAGTATGGTAAAAACCAATATGATAGCAATACATCGAGAGTATTAGCACCATTAAGCACTAAAATAAGGTTATCCTATTTTCTGGTCTTTCTTAATGTCTATCCCCTTAATAATTTAAAGCACGTGGTGGTCGTGTATATTAAGGTATAAAAAAATGCTTATTAAAAGCTTAAAATTTTTATTTTAAAAAAGACCTATTCGGAATTGAATCATTCCATCATCAGTTTAATAAAAAGTTGTCAAAAAAAAACATTGTATAGCCACATGAAAACATAGGAAGGAACTCCGTATTAAAAAACTATCCTCATGGTGTTTATGAAGGTAAATGCAATAGACTGTTAATTTGTAGATTACTAAAAACTGAAAATGGGGGCATCTTACATGACCCCCTGTAGTTGGTGAGGTTTTATTGACTTACATTACCTCTGATCTGTGCTGGAGTCTAGGGCTAACTGATAGAAAGATGGTATGAAAAATATGTGGCCATACAATGTTTTTTGACAACTTTTTATTAAACTGATGATGGAATGATTCTATTCCGAAAAGATCTTCTTTGAAATAAAAATTTTAAGCTTTCAATAAGCATTTTCTTATACCTTAATACACACGAGCACCACGTGCTTTGTATTCAACAGGTATACTAGCCACTCCTGGATATCTCCACTTCATGGTTTTGTTTTTTGTACACTTTTGTATAACTTTTCCATTGTGTTATTTTGTATAAATTTTACAAATTATTATAAGAAATCATGTACTACATTGAAAAGTCGAACAAGTATCAAATCCCATTATGCATGGGATTCATAGACTTCCGAAAGGCGTTTGATATCATAGAACATTGGGACATCAAAAACTCACTACAGAACGGCAGAATTAATTACAGGTACACGGACCTAATAACAAACATATACAAAAATGCGAGTACCACAATAAAATTGACGAACGAACACGCTACAGAACCAATAAAATTTGAAAGAGGAATCAGGCAGGGAGACACAATATCGCCAAAATTGTTCAATCATGCTATGGAAGACATATTTAAAAAAATGGGATACATACGGAATAAGAATAAATGGAGAGCTCTTGAACCACTTGAGATATACAGACGATATAGTCCTGATAGCAGATAAGAAGGAAGAGTTACAGAAGATGGTTGAGGAACTAGATAAAAAAGCGACAGAGGTAGGTCTAGAGATGAACTATAGCAAAACCAAGACTATGACAAACCAAGAAGACCAATTAGAAATAGTAGTCAAACAGAATAAATTAGAGCAGGTGACAGAATACATATACCTTGGACAGATAATAAAGCTGAACAGGGACAATCAAACAGAAGAAATAAAAAGAAGAACTAGACTAGCATGGGCCTCATTTGGTAAACTATCATATATTCTAAAAAATAAAAAGTTCCCTCAATATATGCGAAGGAAAGTATTCAACCAGTGCATTTTACCAGTTATCACATATGGCTCACAAACATGGACTTGCACAAAGGAGAACATCGGCAGGATATCCAAAATACAAAGAGCAATGGAAAGACAAATGCTGGGTATCGGTCTTAAAGACAGGAAAAGAAACTCATGGATCAGAGAAAAAACAAAGGTGAACGATGTATCAAGACAGGTTGCAAAACTAAATGGAACTTCGCCGGTCACACTCTCCGGCAAAAAGATGAAATGGAATAAGCGAATTTTACACGGGAGACCATGGGAAAAGAAAATAAAAAGAGGAAGACCACAGATGAGATGGACTGACGATCTTAAGAGAACGGCAGGAAAAGACTGGATGCAGATCGCCCAAAATAGAGACCAATGGAGATTAACAGGGAGGCTTATGCCCAAGAGTGGGCTTAAACGCCTGATTAGATAGATATATAGATAAGTCTAATTAGGTATTTTCTGAAGCAGGTCGAACCAAATTATCGGTACTTATTTTAACTTTTCTCCATGACTTGTAAATTGAGAATCACATTGTTAGGTAAAATATAATAAATATAGAGCAAGAACTTACCAACACAAGGAGAATATCCATAATCATATCCCAGCAAAGGTTCCTTTTCGGGTTCATCACAACCCATCAATTCAAACTTCAAACAAGCATTCTCCATATAACTTACTATACCCAAAATAACGAACCTAGCTTGCACAAACTTAGGTAAGGATATCATGGCAAGTTCTCCATAGTTTCCTGGATCTCTCATGGTTAAATTGAAGTTAGGGAAGTAAACTACATAGTTTTCATTATCAGCTTGTTTGTAGAAAAACCTAATCTCAGTGGGTCTACCCACGATATCGTTTGTAACAACTCCTTTAACCAATATAGCTTTTACCCTATATACTTTGCCTAAATCGACGCTGACGTAGGTAAATGCTTCCTGCTTGCCACACCATCCGGTTACAGAGTTAAGTCGTACATTTCTAGCTTCATAATTTGGTCTTTCACTGGTGGCGTTAATAGCTGAGTCAGGGATCTTTCCAGAAGCTATTCCTAGAGGCTTTACGACTTTACATTCAGGATCTCTTACACAGGTAATGGGCCTTGGGTTGATAAGTATGTATCCAGGTCTATTACATCCAAAGGAAATTTCTGATCCTTGTTCGTAACTTCTTGAGATCTGGAAACCATCACTGGGCCTTCCAGGATCTTGACATACTGGGCCTTCGCATCTTAAATCTCCAAAGTCCCAAACACCGTTAGCTTGACATCTGACTACGTTGTCGTGTTTACTACTTTGACCAGCCAATTTGAAGGTGTTTTGGCAACCAAAGAAGAATGATGATTGGTATTTAGTGTCAACATATTGGCCGTATTCAGCTCCAGGACTTGGTGGTGGTACACCACAATCAACTCGTGGACATGAAGGTAAATCTCCGCTAAGCCAATAGTCAGGAAAACCCTACAAAACAAAATAGTAATACACATGGTACTCATTATAATTAGTTAAATAAACTTACTGCTTTGGGATCGTATACGCACTGTCTAAATCCGGCAGTGGCTGTACCCCTTAGCTGCCTTCCATTAGTACTGCAGTGCAAAGTTACATTCTCTCGGAAAGGTACAAGTACACTGTCTTCATCATTGCGTATTATTTTTAATCCTTCGTTTTTGTTGTCAGGTAGTGACACACATTGAGCATCTGAAACCATGAATAGCGTATTAAATTCATTTTTCAAAAGAATTTACTTGGAAATGAAACTTTAATTATGATTTTTAGTGTACTTACATTTGCATTCTGGAACTGTTCCGTTCCATACTCCAGAAGAAGTGCAAAGTAAAGATGTTGATCCGGTCATGACGTAACCGAAATCGCACTGGAATTTGACTAGATCTCCAAAATGATATTTATCTTTGGTGGTTAATATAACTCCGTTTTCAGGAGATGTAAGTGTGGGACACATCACAGGTACACAAGATTTGTCAATTTGATACACATCTCCGTCTCGGTTACCATTTTCAGAATTCTCTACGTAAAATGAAGCAGTACCATTTTGGGTGTAGAGTTCAAAACCAACATTACAGTTGCAAGAATAGTCTCCTGCGCTATTGACACATTTCTGCTGACATCCTCCATTATTAACAGCACACTCATTAATATCAGCACATTCTAACCTTGTACAACCCATTACTTCTAGTTTCAAACAAGGTGCCCCTACATAGTCCTGAATCTTAAATTTGATAAATTGGGCTTCTATCGGTACAGGAAGATTTAAAATAGATAAAGTTGGTTTCTCGATGGTAAACTCGACAGCTAATCCATCAGGATTTCTGTAATCTTTAAAAACGTCGGTAAGATCGTCAGTGTATTGTATTCTTACTGCTGAAGTAAAAGCTATATTTCCATCTAATCGCTGAACTGCCATGGTTCTAAAACCTCTGATAACAGTGGGTGCTTTAAGGTCAATAAGTACCCAATTGGAACCTCCTTCAATGGTGTTGCCACACCAACCAGCTCCGTTGAGTCGAACCATCTATAAAAAAAAAACAGAAAATATATTAGAGCTTTAATATAATAGAAGATAAACTATGAGATCGAGTCGCCAAAACATATTTATAACCAAATAAGAGATGGAGTGAGAAGGGAAGGTAGATCCAGAGCACGATTTAAGGATCAGTTGGAGGAAGATTTAAGAATGTTGGGAGTACGAAACTGGAAAGCCAAGGCGAAGACTAGAAGAGGATGGAGACATCTTTGAGCAGGCCAAGACCCACCATGGGTTGTGGAGCCAATAGCGACGATGATGATGTTAATTTTTAGTTATTTAATAATTCTAAGGTAGTATGAAGTTTTCATGCTCAACTAGTATAATTATTTTTAGTAACAACTTATATTTATCCAGGAAAGGTCTCATTAGTTACAATTCTAAAGAAGTTTACTTCAACTTGTACTTACCGATTTCTCGTATCCAGGTTCACTGCTAGATACAGTAATTGAATCATCAGGAATTCCCCCATTTACCAACCCCAAATCACCAACTGGTCTACATTCTTGTGTGCTTTCGAATCCTTTTCTGCACTTGCAATGGAAAGATCCCGGAACGTTCACACATTCCGTGGAAGCAACATCACATTGGCTGCTGATACATTCGTTGATATCTTCACATCTGGGAGGATTGTTAAATATTTGGTTCTCGCCACATCTAAGAATGCTGTTTCCTATAAGTTTGTAGCCTTTGTAACACTGAACACGGGCTTCGTCGTTGTAGTAATAGTCTCTAGAAATGTCTGTGATGAAGCCGTTTTGAATTTCTGGGAACTTTGGACATTTTGCACCTAAAAGTTATCATATTTTTAGATAATATTATTATATACTATTAGATTAAGATATTAATAAAACATTGACATTCTGATCACAAATTTACAAAAATTGCTTCCTTGGCAAGAATAAAATTATTTATTTGGCTACATTTTCAATACTTTTATTTATTTTGACCTTTTTAAATTAATTATTACTAATATATTCAGCTTTTATAGTATCCTAATACCTGTTGGTAGAATAAATGAGTGTCATCCGAATCATCAGACTACATCTGCCACCGTACTCTTCATCCCTCAGCCAACTCTATTTTTTTTTTGTTTCTTTCATCCAAAGAAGCAGACACTTTAGATTTTATATTTCTGTGGCTAGAGGGTAATTTAAAACATCAACCAACCAAACAACAATTAAAAGAGTGTCTGTAAGCACACTAAACCATAAAGGCTTTGCTTAATATCCTAAAACTCTACCAAAGACGAAAAAAATTTAGTATTTTGTATTTTATACTACTCTTAATTCCAAGACCGAATCAAAATAATATTTTGTCTATATTTATGAAAAATATATAACTATTTTCTCTTATATATAAGGTTATAACCTTACTTTATGACCACTCATCCATACTTGCCAATTTTCAACGATTAGAACTAGTCAGAAATAGTAACTGAACGAAAAGTAATAATGAAATTAAAAGGAAAAAGAAAAAATTCAGCAGCCAAAGTTTAAGGAATAATATTAAGTGTATAACTTACGTGAACAAACAGGTACATCTCCCGACCAAGTTCCATTACTCATACACAATATGACAGGTGGTCCACTTCTGATGTATCCAGGTTCACATTCGTATCTCATAATTGTACCATATGATCTGCCCAAGCCATTCAAAATGGTAGCATTAGCATGAGGAACTTCAGGCAATGCGGCACATTGAGATGCTAAAAAAATCCATTTAGTACCGTATGTTTCTCGTACTTTCTAACTGAAATACTTACCTAAACAATTTGGTTTTTTCTCCCAATGACCATCAGACAAACAAGATATTCTTTCAATAGCTTGTCCTGTGGGGAAAGCAAAACCTGCATAACACTGATACATTGCTTGACCCTTGTAGGTTACATTACTCGAACCAATTGAGAAACCATTGTCAATTTGAGGTACTGGCCCACAATAGACTTCTTGGCATTTAGGGATGTAGCTTATAGACCAATTTCCTCCAGGTAAACATTGAGTAGTTATACGATTTCTACCTGTTGCAAATTCTTGACCAGTAGGGCAGCTAAACGTAATGATGGTTCCGAAGGCTGTATCTCTACTGGATGCTAAGGCACCAATTCCGGGTTGCAGAGGCGGACAATCTAGGAAAAAAAGTTAATTATTAAATTTGACGAACTTTAGTAAAGATAATATTATTTACCAGCTGAAAATACTGCTTCCCATCCCTCGTTACTATGTAAAGCATCTGTCACAAATCTGACTAGCATTTCCCCACTTGAAGCAGTTAAGGTAATCTTCGGTTTTGTTCCTGTTGTAAATCCGTTTCCTGAGTGCAATCGTAATCCACTGGTGGTAGATCCATCATAAACTTGTACAAAGTCTGATTTATCGACTTCGAAATGTGGGAAATTTAGGGATAACGGTTGGCCTCCGGGATTTCTAATCTTGTACATACATTCTTGATTGCTAGGATAGTTTTCTAAACCAAAGGCTGGTGACGATATGGTACCATTTTTAGCTACAATTGTCGCTTTACATCCTAAAATATCACAAAAATAACTTTTTGTGATTTTTATGAAAATAACGGTGATTCTTCAAGAAAATAATCTGTGTGCTTACCTTGTGTATACCTGATCCTGAACCCTCGTTTCGAGTCGCCTAAACGCGTTCTAAAGTAGATATATAGTTGATTGCCTGTTGACATAATCACTTTTTGATTGTTCTCCCACTTTCCAGTTAATCTAGCAATTGGTTTGCTTTTGGGTGAATCGCCATCCCTCACCAAAATAAAGTCACGGTTATCATCCAAATCCAAATCATCTACTTCCAAAGTTATTATCTTTCCTCCTTGTGATTGAATAACATACAAACATTCTAAACCTCCAGGATATTGTTCAGGATACCCAGGAGAAGTAAGAACTTGTCCTTGAGGAGTAGCTCGAAGTGTTCCACCACAAGTTTGTGGTTCCGTTTTCCAAGAAGCTCTGAATCCTTTTCTTTCTACCGAAGCATCTGTACTAAATTTAATTATCATAAAGTTAGATCCTGAGACGAATGACCTATTAGTAAGGTCTTGTTTTCCAGAAAGGGTAGCTAGATTGATAGACGTGTCTTCAGTTCTTCCTCCTGCTAGAATCTGGACTGTGTCGAAGGTTTTTTCTGTTTCGAATTCTTGGAATTGGAGAAGAATATTGTGACCTGAAGGCAGAACAGACAATTATAATTAATTCTTAGTGAATAAGAAAATAATACTAGACTAGACAAGGTATGTTATCTAGAGATTCGGGATTGTCATGTACTTTTACAAACCTTGTGGTCCTTCTAGCGTCCATTTGCAATTGGTCAGTGGTGCATACTTGTGTGGATAGTATGGGCTTTCGACCACATCCCCACTACTGGCCAAATAGAAATTACAGTTGGTAGCACAGTCGATTTCATCGGAACCATCTCCACAATCATCCTGTTTGTCACATTTGAACTTTTCGTTGATGCACAACCCATTCGAGCAGTGAAATGATGCTGCAGGGCATGCTTTCGATCGACACATGAAGGGTTGAAGGCTTTCGCATGTGGTGAGTTCCCATGATTGGAATTCTTCGGTTACGATAACATCTACACACTCTCCGGATTGTGGGTCGGGTTGGTTTGGAGACCAGAAACCTAAAAATAATTTATCAATAAATTTAATATTATACAATATTATACTAAAATAGGAGACGACAACAATTTTGGTAAAAGCTAAAATTGGCACAGTTTTATTAACAAACAGAAAAAAATACTCGAATCAAAATAGAGATTCAAGAAGGCAATTAAAAACTTAAGATGTGATCTACTGTGGTATTCAACTTAGCTCTTGAAGGAAAAGGTTACCAGGTAACCTAGAAAGAATGTTTAACAGAATGACCCAAAACTTTTTTAGTGTTTTACTAGGCAGTGTATTGGGTCCGGTTCTATACCTAATATACACGTGTGATAAAGCTGTACTAGTAGACAACACAGTTGATACCTTTGTTGATGATACGGCTATCCAAGCAGTAGGGACGATTTGTAAAGAGGCGACCAACAAGGTCCAAATAGCAATTAACTAAATTCATAAATGAAAAAAAGTTGGAGAATCAGTCTGAATGAAACTAAATATGCTCATGTTACTTTTACCAACAAAACAATATAATATATACTAGTTATAATCAACAATATCCTAGTACCATATGCAGATATTGCTAAGTATTTAGGTATAACATTAGATGCCGAACTACGCTGGAAGGCTCACGACAAAAAAATAAAAGCTAAATATAAGGTATAAAAAATGTATTGGTTAGTTGAAAGAAACTACACTCTGTCGCTCCATAATAAGTTACTACTTTACATTTAAATATTGAGGCCTGTATGGAAATAGTAATAACCACTATTGGGATGTGCTAGACTAGGCAATATTCCAATACTTCAAAGATTCAAGAAGAAAATACTGAGAAACATTGTAGATGCTCCTTGGTACGTGGCAAACAGTGACCTCCGTAAGAACCTAGGAATGGAAACTGTGGATATAATCATCAAGATGATAGGAAGTCACGAGCAACGACTTCATAGGCACGAGATATTGAGGCAATCCAGCTCCTCGATACTATTGGGCAGCATAGAAGATTGAAGAGGACTTTTGAACTAGTTTGAGTGATATTGAACAGCAGAGTATAGTGCTTGTGCGTGTGGATCATGCGGAACGAATTTTAAGGAACAGTATTAATTTAGGTTAAATTAAACTTAATGAAAAAACTGATATGTTCTTGTATACACTTTGACATAACAAAAGATGAAAAAGGAAAGTATTTTTAAAATGATGCACTTCAAAAATACTTCGCTTTTCCATTTTTTAAATTTTTAAAATAAAATTGCTCATTGGTCATTTATGACCAGATCAGAATTATGAAAAACATCATCGTACTGAGCATTATTGAAAAAACGTGAATCACCTATATTGCTTGGATTTAATTACAAATTTCTAATAGTCTCCACACATGAAAAAATTGCTTTTCTTTACTACTAACAGTGTCATTTCCATTAAAATAAATTTTGACTAATTTACTGAATTTACCCTCGATAAAAAATTCCTAAGCATAAACGTCACGTACAAGCGCTGAGCTGGGTATTGTTGGTATTACTATGTCGTTTACCGTTCATATTAAACTAACAGGATCTGATTCAATAAAGAATTCTATTTACTAAACGCGACTTGATAGACAGGTGATTGCTCTTTAAAAATATTTGTTTAAACACTTTGAATACGTCCAGTAGTTAAATAAATAGTGAGATTTCATATGTCAAATAAATAATGAAGTTTATTTAAAAAAATGAGCTGGTAAAAAATAAAATGTTATTCTATATTTTGAATGAAAGAAAATGAGGGAATATTTATGCAAAAAAAGACTTTCGCAATCAAAACTTTCTGTTATGAAGTTCGCGATATCAATTTCTAGAAAAACAAGATGTTTTTTGGATGCATATTGTTTATAGTAGAAATCGGTGAAGTAGTGTTGAAGATGGTATAATAAATTAAGAAATCCAAAGTGAAGTTTTAAAGAAAAATAATAAACTTAATAAAATGAATGAACATGTCTATCAAATAAATGGTTCTGCATGTTCTCCTGACTTTTTTCTTGTCTACAGGCCGTCTGTTCTATTCTAGTCGTACTTACTGTGCTCAATTTGCGCCGGGCCTTTTAAACATGCGATCAAAGATGACTGGCGACCTAGTTTTAATAAGTTTGTGTCAAATTACGCGGAAAGAAAGAGTGCTAGATTCGGCGTAACTACAGAGGATCACAGCAGGATCTATTTAGTGTTATAGAAAACGTCTCTCTAGTCCATTGTTACGCAAGACCTGGTGATGACTAAAGAAATCTAGTATGTATTCAATAAAAAGTTTTATTGAAACCGGTGTACGAATTACTGTGTGTTGCATTGATCCAAAGAGCTCGTGTTCTTTAAAGACAGTTGTTTCTTCCTGGAGAGTTTATGCAGAGCTAGAGATTTCTGTAGATTCCGCCATCCTGGGCCTTCATGTATAGTTGCTGATCGGGACGATCAGATCAAAGAGGGGAGCATTGTAACAAATTATCGTACCTCCGACGGATTACTTATCACAATTCTCAGAAGGATGACTCCAGAATATACGATTACTGGAGTTATCAGTAGCGGCCCTGCTCTTCGAAAACATACCGACACGGTGAATAGAGATGGGCTGCGCTAGATGATTCTGGAATAATATTTTTGTTATTTATACGCAGCGCTGTTATGAGTTAAGTTAGTTGATTAGATATGCTCATGCTGTAAGATTAAAACTAAATCGTTTTAAATAAATTAGAATCGCTTGTTTTATTTTTAAACACGTAACAATATATTCGTTCTAACAAATCTACAGTTATATAGGCTGCAATGTCTAAGCCATATTTTTAGTTGATCATTATTCACACCTGTCGTGTTGTCCTATACATCCATAAGATATTCTGGGTGAAACCATTAAGACATGTCGTGTCAGAGATGAGAACACCATCCAGTCTGTCTTCAGTGTAAAACTTTTTCTGCCCAGTCTCAGTCTGGCTCAATTATTCATTGACTAAATGCCTATTGAAAATGTTTAAAACGAGCTAGTCAATCGACTACAATCATCAATAATTCTGTCTGTATAATATCTGTATCTCTTTGTTAACTACATAAGCACATGTTCAGAATTAAATAACAATCTGACGGTACATCACCCTTAGAAATGTATTCAATACATGCCTATTTGCCCAAAAGATCTAGACCAAGTAAATTAACTGTCAAACTGGTTGGTATACAGAACCAAATAATAAATATTCGCAGATTAACAAAGTTTCTTAATTTATATAAAAAAGGGGTTTCCGGATTGTAAATCGCAACGTTAAGACAGATATAAAATTTCGTTTCATTACAATTAATTGTAATTTAATCCCATATAAATACAATATTTAACTCCTACAAGACACAAATAAACACTTTCAGAACCTCTATAAATAATGCGAGAACTCAAAACCAGACCACAGAGTGAACTTCAAAACAACAAAATACTCCAAAAAGCTCTAACCAAAGTATTTACTTTCTGTATCCTCCCTTACACTTCACCAAAACAAATTTGATACGACCATATCAATCCGTAAACATATAACTGATTTATCAATTAGAAATAGAACGTAAGTAAAAAGGGAAAGCCTTGAAGATGGTACATGGGATAAAGAAATATGACATTTTCGACTTTATTAAGCGAGGAAAAATCCGTGAATGAAAACGTGACATCGAAGTTAACGCTAGATCATTGTAAAAGTGACTTGCATGAGACAGAGCTGGATGAGAAAACCAGAGAAAGCCTGTCTTTAGACCACCGAATTGGGTTAAGTATAGGGAATAAATTATGGCGAATAGGAAAAAGCACTAACAATTATTTACAAACGTAAAATTTAGGTTATATTAGAGTGAATTGCATTACCTGAATATTGAGATACTAAAGTACCAGCAGCTGATTCAAGAGTATTCGTCCTTAAATCATCTAATGAGGACAGACCCAGCCAGTAATGGTTGGCACCCCGCCTTTCTAGTGGCACTGAAGATGTGGCTATTGATGCTGTTACGTTATTTTCACTATATGATTCTACTGCCATTAATTCACTACCATATCTGAAACGAATTATACATAGTAAGAATAATGTAAACACTAAATAATGTTTAGTACATACGAAATATAAACAAAAATTTTTGAATCTTTTTTTGAGATAGTCCCATAGAAACTCCATAGGATTCATGTCCGGACTGTTAGGTGGCCACTCTAATAATGGAATATCAACATAATTTAGGTAGCCAATAACCTGTCGAGCCATATGAGGACGAGCGTTGTCTTCCATGAATAAAAAATTATGTCCAAGAAACGAAGCAAAAAGCATTACATGTTCGACAATAATGTTGTCTAAGTAATATTGGGCATTCATGGACCTCGTACGTATGGGGAACAACTTCATAAGAGCATCAAAACAAATTTCCCGCCAAAACATTTTAGAGCCAGCACCAAAATAGGAGAGATATTGCAGCTGGCAAACCTTTCTCCTCGCCTTCGCCAGATACACTCACGACAATCTAGAGCTTTTAGGCTTACTCTAGTCTCATCGGAGATAAGAACTTGTTTCCAATCATCGATGGTCCCATTTTGATACAATCTTGCAAAATTCAGTCTCTGAACCCTGTGTTTTCTGTTAAGCAAGGGTTATTTGGCCGGTTTCTTGTTGCTCAATTCTGCTTCATGTAAACGTCTTCTAGCTGTAAATGATATCGCGACATTTTGAAGATCTGCTAGTTCATTTTTTAGCAAATTGCTGGTGACTCTCCTATCTATTAGCGCACGTTGTCTTAAAAAACGATCATCAATTTAATTAGTGCAACGCTTTCGCCCTTGCCCTGGTCTTCGATGGTACGACCCTATTTCATTATATCGCCTCACCTTGCGACTGATGCTGGAATGATGTCTTCCTAATAAACCTGCAACGTATCGCATTAAATATACTTCATCTAGGACGTCGATGCTCGCACTGCCTCCTCCATTGACAAATTTTTTTGGCGTTTCCACTTTCAAACATGCATATAATAAAAAATATCACAATAAAAAGCTTGTTTCTCACAAGCACTTTGCTTTAATCGGCACTTTTTATGAAAAGTTTAACTCAGTTTTAGTCTAAAACGAAGTTTAATACAAGTTATTGTTAAAGCAAGACTATTATTAGATTATTATCTTACATAACAACTGTCACTGTTAAACAAGGTCCATAGGCAACTTGTACAGTAAATTATCAGTAGTAATATCCCTAGGACATTGATAACAGACGAGATAATTTCATGACAATCGAAAGCTCGTTCCTTGGTAACAGCACGAAGCCGAAGGCTGAGTGCTGTTACCAAGCAACGAGCTTAAGAAATTTGTCATGAAATTATGAGGCATTCATCAATGTCCGAGGGATATTCGGCGGATAATTTTTCGAAAAAAAAAATCATAACTCAACATAACGAAACATTTATTTAATAAAAGTACAGTTAGTGAAAATACAATTATTAAAATTTAAGTTAACATTAGATTTTGACATTTTGAAATTTATTTGGATGAAGTTGTCAAGCTCGATCGTGTTGTCATAGGGATTGAAAATTGTACTGAATGCAATTGCAAATGCAATTTTATCAGTCTAATGTTGACATGATTGGGTAAAATTGTTCCACATGACACAAAATGACGAAATTTGAACGGTTGTTAGAACACTAGAAAAATTATCAATAAATAAAGATTATTGAGAAAAATATGAGTGGTGCGTTAATTTTGTCCAGGTGTTTATATTATTCAATGAAAATTATATTAAAGCAGCAATTACCCCGTGCGTGCGAAATTTATCGTTAAATGCCAATTTTCTGGTCGGTCATACCGAATTTTTACCACTTTACAGTGGATACAACGATTTAATTAGAAATTTCTAACGTTTAGTCACGTTCAATAATAAACATTACTTTATACAGATCACTGATCGTGATATCTCTTTTTTATATAATACTAGAAGGCTACAATATTTTTCGTTTCAAGCAAAAATTTAGTCATTTCTTTTAATAAATTAATGATGAACTATAGAAAGGAATTTATAATCGAGATGTTACAGCTATAGATGACTTCATATAAAAAGCAATTTAGGTATAGGTATTATGCCATGGAAACCCCCTCATACCACAATGAGAAACGGATTGTGAAAAAATGTACAGATTATAGATTCGAATAGTATAAAAAATTCATTGTATAAATTAAAATCTGATTCTGAATTCCAAATCTCTCTAAAATATGAATCTAACAAAATGTTTTTTTCACAATGCCTGTTGCTGTTTAGATGGTTTTAACGGTCATTTTTTAAGTGAACTATGTTAGTGTATGATCTACTATTTATAACGATCGACAAAATTAAACTTCAAATACAGGGTGTTCAGAAATGATACGCCATTTCTTTAAACTTTAAATTACTATAATAACAAATTTATTACTTTCGGAGATAATTGGGGTTTAATGTTAAGATGGCGCCTCTATCTCAAGGGAAATCTTCCATTGTGTAATACATTCGTGTAGACGGCCAATTTCAAAATTTCAGCAAAATTGTAATCATAGTTTTGTTTCCATCCCGTGTGAAAGCGGGCGTGTCCGCGCATTTTAGAAAAATAGAAAAAGAGCAATATCGGTCGGTGATTCGATTCTTGTTTTCGGAATAGAAATCACGCAGAGAAATCAAAGAGCACTTAGTTGCTGTATACAGTGACTCTTCTCCTTCGATGGCAACCCTCAAAATTTGGTTTGACGAGTTTCAACGTGGTAGCCTGTCGGTTTTTCATGAGCCACGCCCAGGCGTCACGAAATCGGCTACCACAGAGGATAAAGTGACAAAAATCCACGATCTTGTATTGGCAGACCGCCAACTGAAGATACGCGAGATAGGTGAGACAGTACGCATCTCAAAAGACCGAGTATGTTATATTCTGCGTGATATTTTGGGCATGAAAAAACTGTTGGAGCGAACGTTGCCGCTTTTGCTCACTCAGGAAACCGTGGGACCAATTCAGAGTAGTGTTTGACGCTATTTAAGCGTATTTCGAAGGAGTTTTTAGGTCTTCTCGTAACGATTGACGAAACAAAAATCCATTGGTACACAGCAGAGACCAAGAATCAGTCCAAAAAGTGACGGCACTGGGTAAACGTGCTCTGAAGGAGACGACGACTCTCCTATTGGCTGCAAAGTTGATGCCCACCATTTTCTGGATTCACAAGGTGTGATCTACGTCGACTACCTGGAGAAGGGCAAAACAGTCACAGGACTCTACTACGCCGAATTATTGGACTGATTCGATGCCGAATTGCCGAAAAACGACTCTATTTAGTGAAAAAAAAAGTGCTCTTCCACCATGACACCGGATCAGCTACCTCTTCTATCGCCTCATCGCCATGGCGAAATTTCAAACTTTAAAAAGGCACTCTATGGCTCTTGAATTTTAACCTTGTTTAGGCTTGCGCCTCTTCAAGGAATGGGGAACTCTTTTTTTTTGACGGAGTTGTGGGGGTGTGATAAACGTCAATTAAGCGAAACGCGAACTAAGAAGTAGCCAGCTACTAAGGAAAAGAGGGAAAAGAAGGTGGTTATTTGTGTGATCGATAAGAATCGATAGAACGCACAAGAAGAAGTTGGAATTGCCTAGCATGCAGTGTAAGGTACTTCAGGGGTTACCAGCCATACGGTAGGAACGGCTCTTTATTAGCGTTTATGGCGAGCAGACTTTATCTGCGATAATAGATGGGGAAAGTTTCAAGAATTTCGAAATACTCATCCAGCGTTTTGTAGAAGTTTAGCTGGAGGGAATGGAACTTTCTTGGCAGGGTACCTGGTGAGTATTTGCCCTCTATGCGAACAAGGCGTCTTTAGTGGTTGTTTTGTTTGGTTGTTCGAGCCAGCTATGGTTCTTAGGACATACTTCCTGCTGAGGGTTAGGATTCTGTCCTTAATTGGCGTGATGTTAGCCAGTGCGTATATGTGGGTTGATGGATACAACCAATCTTTTCCCATACAGTAGCGCAGAATTCTGCGCTCGGTAGCTGTAATGGCGTTAAGTTCGTGCTTCCTCAGAGAAAGGTAAACGCATGCCTTGTGTTCGAGTATCGGCCTGATAAAGGTCTTGTAGGTGTGCAAAAATGTATTAGAGGACGTTCCTCCTAGTTTTCCGGTTAGTACTTTTAGGAGATTAAACCTCCTTCCCATCTTATCAAGGGATTCATGGACGTCAGCCTTCCAACTGAGAGTTCTCGTAAAACGAACTCCCAAGTAGAGAACTGAGTTCCTGAGAATAATGTCCTCTCCCAAAAGTGTCACTCAGCCCTGGAGGTCGCGTCCGTAAAGAGATTTGAAGACGATAGCTTGAGTTTTGGATGGGTTTAAGGTAACCCTCCATTTGTTGCACCACTTCATGACTTTATCGAGGTAGGCTTGCGATCTATCGAATACAGACCGTCGCTCTCCCTCTGTGCTAGAGCCTGAGGTGAGAATGGCTGTATCATCAGCGAATAGGAGAAGAGACTCTGATCCTTTGCTGTGGGCGGGGGATGTCGCTGTTGTAAACTGTGTATAATATTGGAGCAAGTATTGAGCCTTGGGGTACTCCCGCTTGTGGATTGAAGGAGGTGGAAGCACTCTATGGGTAGAAATTTAAGTCGAATGAGGAGATCGTCACCGCCACGGAAGTTTACTTTGCAGACGTCAAGAAAATGTATTTTTCAGACGGGTTAAAGAAGTTGAAGCTAAAAGTAGACTGTGTTGAAAAATAAATCGCCAATTTTCGTTTTTCTTTTGCAGGCTAATTATTTATCGGATTATGTGCATTAAGTGATTCATAACATTAGTTTTATGGTACAATAATCATTAGTCTATACTTTTTTATACAATTAATTGCTTATCAAATTAATAATGATAGCAATGACAAGTGAAAACTGTAAAAAGTAGGTGTTTTTGCACCTCTTTATTCTGAAAAAACAATTGTCTTGAATCCCTACTATTACATATCTGATTTTGTTTCTAAAGTTTTCACGTCGGTTTGAGTGTTAATTTCTAACATTATTACAAATT